CCTTCCTAGACACAGCATGTCTTACTTTGTGTGCCTGTAGACAATTCAAACACCCAGTTAAGGAGCTTTCCATGAGCCAACTGAGCTCAGATGGTCAAAACATACTTGAATCCTGATTCAATTTAATGTCACATTATGGTTTGTGAATGGAAAACAAAAAGTAGTTTTGACTCTGCCTGAGAATTTTGGAGATTTCTGCTGCCTTACTATTTTTAAAGCTTTTATGCTAGCGCAAGTGTGTGACTTCCACATTATCCTGAAATATTAAGAATAGTAGTTATGTTGCTGATCAGGTCTACACAAGTATACAAGCAGACAGTTACATAAAAGAAGACAGATTTATGCTTTGAGTGTTTCAGCACCGCAGAGACTGATGGAAAGACTGACGCTCAAGGTTTCAGCACCATGGACAGAGGCACGGAAGACAGAACGTAAGCGAGGGAGCATATGAGTGGAGGGACTTTTTTTTTTACGCCACAGAGTTAAATAAGGAATACTTCAAGTATTATGTTTGCACAGGATGAGAAAAGTAGCAATGAAGAATGAAGGGGGAGAAAGAAGAAAAGAGAGGTAGGTGTGTGCATGATGTAAATAAAGTCTCTTTGAAGAATGGTTCAGCAAAGCCTAACTCTCTTTGAGGTTTGCAACACCTAAGCATCTTCAAAGACAAATCTCTGGGGACAAAAGACCGTGTCCAACACCAGCGTACACTCAGCTTTTCGCATGTTCATTCACAAATTTGTACAACAGAGTGCAAAAAAAAAAAAAAAAAAAAAAATTGCAGGTAACCTTCCCTACGCTGTACCTTTTTGCACAAACACACAAATGTTTATGTTTAAAGTGCTTTTGAGTGGATTTCGTTTCAAATAACACATTTCAAAGGCAATATTTGTTCAAATGTTTAGCGTGCAGGCAGACGTCTTGACAATGAGTCAGTATTATACGATTTACTAAAGGGGCGGTACGTACAATCAGAGCGGGCAGGTGAGAAAGCAGCAAGGCCACTCATCAGTCGCCAACCTTGTGTCTGTTATAATGCTGCACTCTGCGGTAGGCTTGCTCCTCTAGCTCAGTGGTGCGTAATCACACAGTAGCCTCAGATCTAGCTGTGACTCTTAATACGCTCCTGTTAAGTCAGGTGCCTTCCCATTATATTTGTTTAAGTGGGTTGTTTCAGTCCACAGCAGTCATCTCATCCTTTGACTTCTGTGGATTCAGTTACAGAACTGCTGAGTGGACTGTTTGGGTTGAGAGAGACCAGCTTTAAGGCAGAAATGTCCTGTCAGAGCTTAAAACTCAAGCACATTTATTTTGGTTATGCTCTCACTTAGGAGATATACGAAGAAAAAGCGAATCGGGAGCTTTTTTTTAAGGCAGACAAATAAAGGGAAATTGTGCAATTAAACAGAAGCAAGTCTTCCAGGAAAGAGAGATTAAAGAGAGTGTGATATGTCCAAGGAAGCAAAATGTGTTGTTTAGCCCAATGGCATTGTAGTTGTTCTAATTCAGCAGAAGCCCCAACAGGATCCTACGTTCTTCTTCAAACATCCAAAGCCAGGAGCGCTTCCTCTTAAAGGTCTGTGTGAGATTTGCACACTGCCGTTGATGTTTAATTGGTTACAGCACTCTACTGAAGAGGCCCAAAAAAAAAAAATTGTTTGAAAACACAGGAGGGAAAAACAGAGGCTCTGTAGGTCAAGCTTCTCAAATAAAATCCCATCTAACAGCTAAGTGAGCTTTTGAAACATGATTTTTTTTTTTTTTTACTTTTTCACAAAGCTTCAAATACTGAAACCTCTTTTGTCAAGGTAATTCGGAGCTATAAATTCCATCTAGCATACCTATATTGGAGATGTTTTTTACGCATGCTTTAGTGCTCAATGTGGGAGTTAGGGTTACATTCAAATACTCCAGCGATGGTTGTGCTCATCTGACTGAAGGAAAACAAGCTCAAACAAAATGTTCTCTCATGTGAGCAAATACAAAGACAGAATCTATTACATCTTTAAATAAAAGGTTGTACCTGCTTTGACATGCATGAGGCGAAGCGAGAATCCCTGTTGCATCCTGCTTGATATAAAATAGTTGCTGATTTGTGGGATATGCAAATGCATGCATATCACAGGAACCCTTAATTGTTGCTCGATAAACCAAAAACTGGTCAGTCAGCACACTGCGTTTCAGAAAATATTGGTGTTGACAAGTTTTAGGTCTCACCTTTGTACCAGGCATCTTTATTTAACATCTACTAATTTGGCTGAAATACTTGCGGCAGAACTGTAACCCATTATAACTAAAATGTATACAAGACTTAATAAAACAGTCTGAAATGCAAATATTCTACTAAAAAGGGAAATTAATATTTACTAAAGCCTACTTTTTTCCTTAAGCTGATATGCACTCAGAGTTCCTCTTTCCAAGCTTTGTGATGTTGCATAGCTGCATGAAGTCAAGTATGTCAGTTTATCAAGATAATTGTATATAGACAGACTCAAATATTTTCTTGTGAGCAGAATTGAACAATTTTATGAAAACTAAAAAAAAAAAATTCTGTCTTTTTCCAATCAGTCAACACACCCACAAGTCAAACTGACCACACTCGTCAGTGTGGAACTTATTTCTTACAGAACCAAACAGGAGCTTTTCTAATAATTAAGAGAAAACAAACAACAACAAAAAAAAAGCTAAATCTCGATTAACTCCAGAAGTATGCAGCAGACTTGAATCTTCTTCACACATTCTTAGATGCTGTCTCTACTATAAATAATAACATAAAGTGCATCTGTTTAATAAACAAATGAACAATTTAATAATCTCACACATACAGTAATAGCAATATATGGCTTTTTTGCTGTCAAATATTGAGTTAGACATTTTAATGTATTTTGATCAGGAAGATTTAACTGGATTTTGTAGATTTTCAGTAGTACATGAAAACAGTTATGTGGCTTAGAGCTGTTTGGCAAGAAAATCTTTTTACTCTTATTATTACTGTTATTATATTATAAGCTTATAAGGTTGTCCAATATTTTTTTTATTATTATTTATATTGGGAGCAGAGACAACATCACACAGTGTGTGAGGGAGATTTGATTATCAACGAAGAATCTGAATAATCTAAAATTGCTGTCAACACGATTGCAAAATAGGTGCATCTCCACTATTATATGTAACTTTTTCAAGAATGCATTCGGTTTTATTGCTGCCCAGGTGCACAGACTTTAAACATAAACTAGTGCATATGAAGAAAAAGGAATGCAGGGAAAGCTGAAGTCTGTAGTAGGCTCAATACAGCCACTCTTAATGTAGTGTGAATTCTACTACATCAGCACCATGTGCCCAGTTCATGTGCCTGTCAGGAAAATAGAAATCCTTTGGAGGTTTGGATAATGTTGTCAACTCCCGGAGGTTAAAGGCATCTTTGCATGCTGGCATTTACAGACTTACAGACAGTCACACTGTCCAATCAGGCTGCATAGGATTTTAGTTTATTGTAATCTTGTCGGTATGACAAATATCAGCACTTCCTGTTACACCTTGGCTAAGTAGGTAGCAACAATAGGGTAGTAATCCCATGACTCCTTATGTTATTATAAACAGTCTTAAAATTTAATGACCAAGAATAACTAGCTTGTAATTACATGTGGAGATTGAGCAACTAATGATAATACAAATTTTACAACTGAGTAATATTATTTAAATGTCAGAATTATTAACATTTAAATATAACATGAAGTTAATGTTTACATAGTGGCATTTGTCTCTCATATTCATAATTAGGGAATAAACCCAAAGATAATCTGTCAACTACATGGGAATAGAATGGTAATGTTGCATGCATTAATACAATGTTTATTACAGTGCACAGTATTAATTAAAAATGAAATTATGGGTACTAATGTTGAACAATCAAATAGTAACTGCAAAGGTAAGTTTAGATTAATATTTTCAACCAGCATACAAAACTCTAAGAGAAGTCGGTCATATTTCTCTAGGCTGAAGAGTTTTCCTGTTACTGACAGAAAAACACATCAGAACAATATGATTCTACCCCCACCATGCATCATAGGGATAGTGCTAACCACAGTAGTGCCAGTTAGGGTTGTTCTTACAATCTCTATTTTTTTTGTGGCCAATTGGCTTTCATGTGGCCATTCTACCATAGCAGACTGGAATGCAATAGCAATACTTGACCAGATGCTTCTATCTCCACCGAAACTATGGCTCTGCCCTGGCGCTCACCTATCTAACCTATGAGTCCCAGGTCAGATAGCAAAAATCCAAATGGAGTCCTTGTGATTCCAAACTTTTTTTTTCATTTCTAAGCAGTGGACACCAGGGTGATTTTGGCAATAATTAGTAGTGCAAAAGTATTTTTACATACTTCTCCAGATTTGTGCCCTGAAACAAACAGGTCCCAGAGGTCTAGAGACATACATTTAACTTCATTGCTTGGTTGCTTCTTTGATGTGCTCCGTCAACCGTGAGACCTTGTTTTCCAATCCAAATCATGTTCAGTCAACTGAATTTGCCACAGGTGGATTGCGTTCAAGTTGCAGAAGCATCTCAAGGATGATTTGGTGGAAGTCGGAGAAACCTGAGGTCAATTTTGAGTTGGATAGCAAAAACAGGTGAATGCATGCGCACCTGTTATGTTTCAAGGTTTATATTGTTATAGATTTATAAAGAAAAATCTAAGATGTTTTGCCTTGGCAATTTTAGCTATTTTGTGTAGACTTTTAGAAGAAAACAAAACCTAAATCTATTTTAGAATAACTAAGTAATGTTAAAAAGTGAAAGGGTGTGGATACCTTCTGTTGGCGCTTTATGTGAAAGTTTTAGATGCTGAAAGACAGTTTCTCTAAAATGATTGTAGCTGTGTTGACTCATCATTCAGATCATCTTTGTGTGACCTCTGCTGAATAATCTGGAAGAAGAAGGAAAAAAAAACAAAACAAACAAACAAACAAACAAACAAACAAACAAAAAATACACCTCACCTGCGTTCCTCAGCTTGCGGTTCCTGAACACCGAGATGATGACTAGCAGGTTTCCTAGCACATCAACCACCGTGGTAAAGATCAAGACACTGGCCAGGATAGCGATGACCCAGGCAGGGCGAGCGGTGCCCTCCGCGGGCAGGCTGCGCTCCAGCTGCCCCAGCCGTGGCTCTGTCCGGTTCTTCAGGAGCATCAACGTGTCCGGCATCACTCGGTCCACAGCGCGAAGCTGCCCGCCTCAAGTCCCCCGCTAAAATTTTGATTTTTTTTTCTCCTCTTTTTGTTATTACAAGTGTGTTTTTTTATTATTATTTCAACGTCCCGCCGGCACCGTCGGTACCGGTGTGTCCTAGATGAAACATGGAGCGCACCCTTCCCCAAGTTCCACGAGAGCGCAGGTAAAGTCCGCTACTTAAAGGCGACAATTAGTTGCTGCGGTGATCACGTGTGACGTATGAAGTTGCAAGGACTCTTGGCTTCCTTTTTTCCCTCACATCTTCAGAAGCAGAGTGACCGGTCCACGTCCCGCGACAAACGGCACACGGCCACGGTGCCACACCTCCTGCCAGGAGAAAGGAATGTGAAATATTTCTCTTTCAGAAAATAATTTTCTAAGAACACGGCTCTTGTTTCTGAACTCTTAATGTGACGCCTTACCTGGCTTGTTGGTTGGCATTTGTAACTCTCCTTCGTCTGCGTGTGCTCACAAAAAAATTAAAATAAAGAAAAGGGTAAATAAAAATAGGAAAGCGAGCGATTTCCTTGTAAGCGGTCAAATGGCAGGGAATATCTCTGTGTTCAACGTGCAGCTTAGTTTATCTTCTTTAGCGATGTGTGTCGTCCTGTCCATGTGCAGGACCATACAGCTTAAACGACGCAACTGGAGCTGAACGTAGCGAAATGTCACACAGTAGCAACCCCCAGTGATGATGATGATGATGATGATGATGTGGAGACATCCACAGAGTGAGGATGGAGCGAAGACTCGCCTCTTTCGGTGTGAGTGTGTGTGTGTTTGTGTGTCCCTCCCTCTCTGTCTCTCTCTTCCTCCTTCGTCACCTACTCTGCGTGCAAACAAAAATATTGTCCATTTTTGCCCCGCTGCATTTTAGTCCAACTCTATCCCGGCGTGACCTCCCAGAATCTGCCTTTGATCTGGGCACAATTGCTCGGAGGAGCTCCGACTGTAAGCACACAGAGTCGAGTCGGTTCGGGAAATCCAATGATCACGCTGTGACTTCGCGTAATCTTTTTTTTTTTTCCCACCGGGGTGAACGGGGACGACATTTTGAAAGTAAAAATGATTAAATCAGACGTGTTGCAGCTGTGTATGTTTCTCGAAATCTAATTTTAGACGAGAAATAAATAGCATAACAGAAATGCTAAATTATATGGAGGTATATAGATTATATGAGTTGTAAACACAACTGTGTCATTTACCGATTGGATGAATGCTTGAACAGTGCGCGCACGTTTCTGGACTCTGGAGTATTTGTGAGCAGCAGAGTCACAGAAAGTGGAGGTGGCAGTTTAATCCCATTCATGCTTAACATGGGTGACTGAAAAGGGTGGGGGTCTGGGGGGGCAACAGTGCAGTCAGGCTCTCTGGATTCATAAGTTATCAATTATCTGTGTCAGTTGTGACACATTGGGGCCGGTGCCATCGCTCCCATGCTTAACCCCTTGCTGCTGGTCTGCAGCTGGATGCCCTTAAAAGTCAGCAAGCGGAGATTAGAGACAGCCTATAAGGAAAAGCTGATGGGTTCAGCAGGGTCCGACGTGATGGCCAGGAGACAGACATCTCCCGGTTGCCAGGTCAGTCGGAGCAGCCTGTTCTCACATGTGGATGCATTTTATATGGAAACCATTCAGTACTGGGCTCTTGGGCTCATAACAATACCACACATCTGAGGAAAACAATAAAATACAATCAATGGCAATTGGAGGAGGTAAAAGAAACTAAAGTCTGCTAATTGAAACTCCGCTTCCCTGGTAATACTCTGCTGGCCTCATATGTCTGGATCTATATAGCTACATTACTTTGCAAAAGTATCCATTTCTGTTAAAGTTTTCCAGATATTGACTTGCCATAAGTGCAAAGTTTTATTTTATTAAGGTAGTGCATAATTTTGAAGCGGAAGGAACTCGATACATATATATTTATTCTTCTTATAAAATCTAAAACATTTAAAAGTTTTCATTTAGTTTGATACCCCTAAATAAAATCCAGGGTGATATTGTCTGTGGAAGTCACAGAGTAAGCACATTCCAGTTTAGGGTAGTTTAATCCGTCCATCACGAGAGGCAAGGTTCACCCTGGACATGTTGCATGTAGTTCAATCTGTATAAATGCAGTTACTCTGTGAAGGCTTCAGAGCATTGATATAGAACCTCAAGCAACAAATGGCATTATGAACACCAACGCTTAAAGCTGATTGTGAATTTGAACAGACACTACACAAAGTCTGACTGAACTCAATCTATTCCAGAAAGAGAAATGGGCAAACATTTCAGTCTCTACACCCATGAAGCTAGGAGCAATTCCCCCAAAGGTCTTGCAACTGTAATTGCAGTGTAAGGTAGTTTTGACTTTAGGCAATATCTTCTGATACCGAAACCATATATCCTTTCCTTGTCACTTCACATGTGCAACACTTTGTGTTGGTCTGTCACAAAAATCTTGATAAAATACATTGGTTATTGTGGTTGTAATGTAGGAAATCCCAAAGTGTGAGTAGTTTCGCAATCCATAGTAGGCATTTAATATTTTTTTTGTGTGTGTGTGTTTTCCCGATGGAATGAACTCTTACAATAATGGCACTGACTTATTATATAACAGTGAAATCACACACTGTAGAAAAAAAAAGAATATAGTAACATTAGGACAAAAACTGTGTATCAACACCATCCTCTCCAAAGGAAAAAAAAAAAAAAAAAAAACTGGAACACAGCTGCTCCATATGGATACATTCTGTGTGTGGTGACCTACTGGAAAATATGGTTTATTAATATTGATGGCACAGTGTTTCTTTGTCTCGAGTCATTGTTCCACATAGAGATTTGTTGGATCTTCCAGATGGTGCAGCCAAAACAATGTCTGGGGAGGGGAATTTCAAGACAAGGAAGGAAAACCAGCTAGGTCAAAATAGAGATTAGAAACTTTTATTATTTTTTAGGACTACTGTGGCATGTTGAACCATGTCTGTAATTCTGATGTACAAGAATACATCCTATTACCACTATTCTCTAGGTTAAATGTCCCCAGCAAGTTGCAGAGCAATGACGAGCTTCTGGCATTTGTTTCAATTTTTGTAAAATTGACAAGACTCATTAAAACCAGTATGCTTACTGTCACAGACCTAGGTTTTGAGAACAGTCCACAAGTTTACAACAGGGTTGAAGTTTAGACTACTTCAGAAGCTTAATATTAGCCTGTGATATCCACTCCAAAATACATTTTCATCTATATGTGGAATCGTTTGTCTGTTGTCACACCTAACTTTGTCCATATATCTAGATTTTGATTTGAAGTGACACTCACAATGCACAGTGAACCAGTTTCAGTGGTTATAAACAGACACATAGCATGCCACAGTGCTTGACAGATGGTGCAGTGTTCTTAGGTTTTAGAGCCGCGTATACTGTAGATCCCTCCAAATGTACTTTTAGGCACCACAACCAAACAGCTCAGCATTTGCCTTGTCTGACCCTAAAAATATTCGCCAGAAGGACTCTGGACCTTGTTCTTCTTCTGGAGAGTTGCAAATTTCAGTCATTCAGGTTCCTAAACCAACCATTCTAAATTAATTTGACAAATATTGCCAAGAGGAATCATCACATATTTTGGAGATAAAATAATCTGATCAAAGTTCAACTTGCCAAATGACATTTCAACAAATGTCAGTGAGGATCTGTGTTTATGTTTAGGTTTGTATGTTTGATTTTGAACAATAAATTCATACTTGTTAATATATTTTCGGTTGTATGATAATTTCACAATTAAAAAAACGACACCACATCCTTAAAGGCCCAAAATTAATAGCAAAATGATCACCATGATAATTATATATAAACCAAACTACAAACTGCAGTTGATTTTATATTGTGTGACCATTTTTAAATGAAAATATTAAGACTCTCATTTAGATGGGTTGTAAGTCAGTTCATCACAGTTGCACAGAAAAAAAATATTGCAGGGAATTTGGTGGAATTGGGTTCTGATCCAAAGAACGCATAAAGAGATTTTGATTTAATCTGGATTTTGAATTTATGGCATTAGACTACCATTTTGAAGTCACAACACAGAACATGGCAAATAGATAAAACCTAGGAGGGAGGGATGTTTCAGGTTTGTATGATGCTAAACAAATATAAAGATTTTAAGTGTGATAGCACAATTTATATAACGTTTTTCTCTAAAGCTGTGGAACTCTAGTAAGACTGTTTTTTTTTTCACACACTTCAAATGTGTTAAGGTTATTCTAACATTTCACTCATCTCTTGGACTAAAAGGGTTTCTACAAAAGGCCTTTTATGCTTCCTCAGTCCAACAAGAGCCTAATAAAAATCACAGCAACTTCAGCATATCTTGATGCTTATTCTGCTGGCGAGCATAAAAAGCCCTGATGATCAAAGCACAACATAAAGCAGGCCTTCTTCTTAATAAAATCAGATCTCAGCAATCTCAAGGGTGACAGTGTACCCACTTCTTGGAGCCAAAGGAGATAACGAGCTGAGCACTGGGGCCCATGATGCTGCCAGATTTCTCTGGAGCATGTTGAGCTATCATTCTGTCTCACCTCTGTTTAAGGAAGCCTTTGTTTACAGCTTTGAACCAAACTGGCAAAGCATTGAAATGAAGTACTGTTAATACAAGGACGTTGTCAAAACAGCACTTAAGAGCTCAAGCCAAGACCTAATGAGGGTAGAATAAAGAAGTGCAGGAAAATGGAATTCAGCGTTTATTTCCCTGGTTTTATTTGACTTGCAGAAATTCTGGATCCGGATGAAATAGATATAAATAAACAATGAATCAAATACATGTATCAATGTTTGAAGCAATGACTGATTTCTAATGTTTTGTACATTTGGCGTAATCCCGACAATATTTATCAGCTTTCATCTTGTAAGAAAATACAATAGGGGACATGAAGTGCATGGTTAACTTTGCTGTTTCTCACATTGCAATTTTGCAGGCATATGCCAGCAGATTGCCTTAGTGATAATCTCTCCAAACAGCAAGGGGAGGGCTGTGAAGGGATTGGGCCAGTACACAGCTTCCTGGTTGAAGGCAGAGTTTGGCTGTGACCTTACGTCTTCTTACATGTACAGCAGGGAAAAAATACTAAGTATTGGACATGTAAATTGTTTCTCAGTAAATACATTTCCAATGAGCTTATTGACATTAAATCCACACCTGATGTTGGTAGCAACCCAAGCAACCCACGCTTACAAAGTAACCAAAACAAATTTGTCCACAGGGAATAGGTATTGAAAGAAAGGAGTGGAATTGCATAGAAAACCAAGAAAATGCATTAAATCTGACAGCATTTAGAAAGAAGTCCTGCTCCTATCTGTTAGTTAATATTAACATAAGTCATGAATGTAGTGCTGTGGCCTCCATCCACGCTCACTGCGCAAGCCTCCAACTTATTGCACAAGAAGTGTCTCAAGATGGGAAAACGCAAAATGTTTATAACCATACTGCTGCAACACACAGTCGTACAAGTGGCGACGTTTTTTAAATATTTTATATGTTCACACTTTCCTTAGAAGCAAACGATTATTCACAGAAGGCATGGACTTTGATGAAGTTGAAACGACTGGATCTGATTTCGTCCAATCACAAAGGTTCGCCCGTGACGCATATAAATCGTCAGCTTGATGATGTTTACTGGAATTTGTGTGCTCTGTAAACAACCCTGTGGGGAGTATTGCCAAGACATCTTTACTAGTCATAAAACTGTCTTATACATTATTTTGCTCTCACTTTAATAGTGTAATATTTAGAAGCACGGCCAACATGACACAACTTCTCATTCTGTTCGCTCTTGTTGAAACTGAGCCAAAAATACACCTGAGCAATACACACCGATGGCTTCTCCTCACAGGTATCTTTAAGTTGTCCTCATTCATAAAGACTTTTCTGCTGCCTTTATAATACTTTTTCAATAAGCAATAAGTTAGCCTTGTGTTATTCTAAATTAATACCAATAACCTTACTCATGAACTCA